ACAGACCATTTATTGGGGTTGTTTTTTGGAAAGCCAAATATTGAGTCAATTGTTCGTAAAATTTCAGTAATTTTCATAAATATTACCATAATGTCGAATATTTGCATTCGACGCCAAATTGTCAATATAAAATTGGATCACACTTTTCGACAAAGAAAATAATCAAGAAACAATTGTTGGAGAATCGTATGATATTGATGAACAACTGACAAAAATCGATAACGCGAAATTAGGTACTCACCGAACAGATCCAAGAGAGAGCATGAAAGATTTTTCATTTTATAATGAAATCTGTTTCACTCCATAAGTCATTTTGTAATGGAATCTAATCAATATTATTGAAATACTGAATAACATTTGAATAAATTATTGAAATATCGAAAATATTTTTTATAGAATTTTGAAATTGCAAATGAAGGAAATAATGTAAATTGTTAAGTAATAAATTTTCGTTTATTTCTGTAGCATCTTTGATATATTAATTTTTATGTCAGATATTTATTTTTTATTACCTTAAAATAATAATTATCTAAATGTGTATACCTGAATCAATAAAAATATTAAATTTTTCATTAAATATTCATGTTTAATAATTCAAATTTCTATTGACAGTCGAAATATGGTGTTGATAAACTTAACTTTTATAAAATTTGACGTTCTAAAAATTACCTGAATCAGGAGTACAAATAAATACACGAATCATTGAAAAAAAATTTTCCACCCTACCACTATGATTTTTCTTTACTTGTCGGGAAAGCAAAAACTCTACTTTTCTTTTTATATTTATTTATTTTTAATTTTATGTTAACATAATTCTGCCATGTATATAACTTGATAGTTGAATTAAATAATGATGATGATTATAATGATGATCATCATCGTCGTAATCATCATCATAATAACGATATCTATCACCTTTGTCTTTTAAATGTACATACACTTTATATAATGAAAAGCAGATTGATTTAAAGTATAAATATAAAGCATAAACACTTCAATCATTGATACTTTATAACCTAGAATTATCTTTTATATAGAGTTCGACGTTCGAGTCGAAGTCTGAGCTGAATTTGAAATTTCAAAAAAAACATTTCGTCTAAATCGAGATCGGAATACGAGTAATAAAACTCTTGAGACGTAATCAAATATGCATTTTACAAGATTCAAGATTAATATGATTATTTGTCATTTGCTGTGTCATTTTCGAAATGATTGCAAACGCAGTCAATTGCATTGATATAAATCGGTAAATAAGTATGAAATTATTTATTTATGGGTACTTTTACAGAACTTATTTAATTGCTGCTAAAATAGGAGCAATTTTGGTTGGCGTTTTTCATTACTGGGGTTATTCATAATTCAAAATATGTGAAATTACAGTACATTATAACATTTAAAGCGTCAAAAATATATTTTGCAACAATAACATGAAATTTTTATTTTCATCAATTCTATAAAAATTATGAATATATACTTATTACATTACGGTAATGAGTCATTCAAACCGATAAGAAATTTTCAAAATATTCATTTTGCTTATTATTCTAAACTTTAACTCTAACACGGCAATTGAATTCACGTTATATAGAAGCTCGTGATTCATTAATGGAGATCAAACTCTATTATAAAAGTTTATGAAATAAAATATACATATACATATATACGAATATACATATAAAATTTAAAGAGCGTATAAAAATAATTCTTAATTCTTTTAACTTCTTTTTTTTTATCTATTTGTATATATTTTACTTTCTTCTGGTATAACATTTTGAGTGCAAATAAATATTATTATTAAGTCTTAAGGAATATAACCCAATAATTGTACATGAACAAATATATATGAATATGTATAAATAGAAACATACAATCTGTTTAATAAGAAAATAAGCTGATTTTTTTTGTGCAAAATTTTATTAATAGGATTTTGTATTTTCACGAGAACTATGTAATAAAAATTAACTGAATTTAGGTTTAATCTTTAAATTGAACTTAATATAATATTGATTGTAAATATACATATATTGAATATTTGTAGTACAATAGTAAAAATATTCACCTTTCATACAATTTATTAAATTTGAATCCTTAATAATGCACTAATCTTATGCATTAAGAATTTAATATTTAATTCACTATAAGTAGGTAATGTAATTTTAATTCTGTAATACATGTTCATCAATTTATAACTTTTAAAATTTAAATCTTTGTACAACAATGTTTTATAGTAAACTGAGCGAATATGTTTAGTACCGTTACACACTAATATTTCTTAAACTGTCATACTCCAATAAATGTGCAATATTTGAATATAATTCAAACTTATGCAATTAATTTGGATAGCTAATTTAAATTTATAATTTGCACAACCAATTTTAATTTGTTATTTGAGGGAATTGTTCCATTTGAAAATCATTTCAAACCTTAATTCATAGCTACTAAGTTTTTTATAAAAACTCACAATTACAAAACTTAAAACTTCATCACTTTTGAAAGTGAATGTCAAGAACAGGTCAAGAACAAGTACTTCAAAGAACATTTAAAATCATGGAAATACTTCCCATCTTATAAAGCTGAAAATTTGTAATATTTGAATATAAATAATGTCATCTTTGCCTCATATTTGTGACCTTTAATTTTTTTGTCACTATTATACAGTTCTCTAATAATCATCCTTGAAATGTTTAAAACAGAGCTAATTTTTCAGCGTCTAATACAATTAATCAATTATTGGAAAAAATTCATTAAAAATATGCTAAGGCCTAAAATCTATTGAAAATTTGTTAAATTATTTAATAAAATTTATAAAGTATGCATTTCTCCAAAAACTTATAACCAACCATACCATCACATCCAAAATGAATGAAGTCAGGTGTATTCGAATAACATTTCAACTTTATATTTCCCTATTCTTATGTTCCTCTTCTTCTTTTCTTTTTTAATTGTTTTTCTAAGTTGATCGTGATAAAAATATTCTTGTTGTTTTCCTTCATGTCAGTTAACAATATTTTTGTTAGTATAATTTTTGCTACCAAATGGCAAGACAGATTAATCACATAATATAATGGTAAACCATTCAGAAAAACAAAACCAAAAAAAAAAAAACTATAGAATCATAATAAAACAAAGCAATTTAAATGTTATGTTCACCAGTTATCATTTGACTTTTCTTTACTACTTTCTACTTTTCTATATTTCTCTTTTAACTATGATTTTCCGTGCATTTCCAACGGTTCGTGTAACACTTTACCTTCTCTTCTTCATTCATATAAAGGTATATATTTACATATATATTTAGTTTTATTTATTATTCGTATTTAGCATGAAATATAAAATATCAAAATAAAATGATCGCAAAAATTTTTATTTGTATATCACATACATAAAATTAAACTTGCCAGATTAATAATAAATGTGGATACATGCAAAACATTTTTTATAGTTTTATCAAATGTTATTGAAATGTCGAAATGAAATAGTTGAATAATATTTGATATTTGAGAATAAAATTTGACTCCAAATTCATTGAGACTAAAGAAACCTTTAAATATCAGATTTTACAAAACACTTACTAAAATGTAATGTCAAAATATGTTTTACCAACGAAGTCCAAAAAAAAAAAAGAATAATAAATCTGAAATCTGCTTTTTATATCTAAATAAATAAGATATTTTATTGGGTCTTTTCCAAATTAGTTTCGTAAATAGTTTGCGCTACACATTTTTATTGTATATTGTATTGTAGCTCAACTTGCCGCATAACTAATTGTGATTAGATTTGGATTTCAAATTTAAGCACCGAAAATATTTTCTGTAAAAATCTCATAGATCCGTGATAATGATTTTTTTTAACTAAACTAGTACATTATGGCCCTTCATACGTCGACTCGACGATATGGTAATTAAAATATACACATATGATAATAATATAAATATAATGATAGGCCGGTTACCCTTATAACATTCATATAGTATTTTATTAACTGATTCACTTAAATTTTTCATGTTATATTCATTTAAAATGTTTTCATTGTATATAATATTCATTTATACTTACATTATGTATATACAGAGTGTTTACTTGTAATAAATATAATATACTTTAAAAAATTTTATAAGTTATTGGTAAATATTATATTTTATTAGAATTAAGTTTCTTTGCAACAGCTCTCCATTCTCTACAAATGTAAAAATGTATAGCTTCTCTTAAATAAATTAATCAGTAACAGATAGCTTTCTGTCAAGTATATTAGCATAAAATTTTGTTTTAAGATTTCTCCAAAGTTTATGCAAAATTATATAGTAAATCGGTTTTATTATATAAACTTTACTAAAGCTAAATAAATATTATGTAACTTAAATTTTGAAAGAGAAATGTGCTATTTTACGTGCTTATTACATAGAATAAAGAAGGGATTCGTAATGTTTCAATAAAATCTACCATTGACAAAAAAAAAATCCACTTGTTTTCAATTGAGGTGCTCAGTACATTAGTGGCCTATCCAACATTTTTGCAAAAATAATTTGTTATGTTCAATAGAGCTGTAATGGCCTATAGAATCGTTCTATATTTCCAAAATACTTAGTTTACTCCTCTTTTCACTGTATTTTGATATAAGTTTGTTTTTGCCTTTTAAAAATTTTCTTAAAAATTAAGTATTTAAAATATTTCAATCGCAATTTACTCAAAATGTGATTTTTACAAGTAGGCCACTTATGCGCTGAGTGTCTCTATTAACAACTTACTTTATGGACACTTATTTAATAGCAACACTCTGTATATACACTATCATAACATAAACATAAACACACAGTCACCTAAATCACTTTATTGTTGCATTATACCGCTTTTTATTCTTTTTTTTTTTTGTATTTAAACTAAAAATGTTACAATCCGTTTAGCTTCTTATTTTGTTTTTTTTTTTGTCTTCTTCTTTTTTATTTTGTGTTTTTATTTTACTATCTATATAGCAAGTTTTATGATGATGATAGTTCTTTAACATGGAAGATCTTGCGCTGTCTGTTATGGATCAACATTGTAAATTTTGTTGTTTTTTCTTTCTCCTCTTTTTTTTGCTCTTTTTTTTGTTTTGTTTATATTCTTAATATTATTGTTTTTGTTTTGCTTTTTCTTTTGTAATATTTTGATTTTTACAAGTTCCGTTCTTTTTTCCCAGATGGCACCTTTAATGTACCCTGTGATTGTTACTATTGATGCCCTCATTTAAGATGTTCTTTTTTCTTTTGTTTTTTTTTTTTTGCTTTTTGTTGGTCTAGAAAGAGGAAAAGAAAATTATGTTTTTTTTTTATTATTATTTTTGTGTTTTTTTTTATGCTTTTCATCAGAATATCGGTAACAGTCAGTCAGCACAGCAGTCAACAGTATCTATTTTGTACATGTTATACATATTTATAGGTAAGTATAGGATAGTGTTACCGATGTTAGCAAAAAGAAGAAAAAAACGAAAATATTAAAAGAAAAACCAAAACATTAGAGTAAGGTTACCTGTTGAGTACAACTATAAGAGTAAAATACAAAATCTGCAAAAACAAAAAAACGATGGTAATAATAAAGAAAAATGAGAAATGAATGTAAAAGATTAAAAATTTAGACTTAAAAATTACCGAGGCCTTGGTATGTTTGTAAAAATTTTACATGCATATTTTCAATAAGTAGAAAAAAAAAAGAAGAGTTTTGTTTTTTGTGATCTTTTTTGATTTTCGATCTTAAATAAATTCTTATTCTATTTTCTTTTTGAATTTCTTTCTTTTCTTTTTGTTATTTTTGTGATTTTTTGGATCTCTTTCACTCTACCACACCATGTGAATGTTATTACTATTTTATTCATCATAGCGATTAGATGAAAATTGAAAGCGCGCGCACACATAATAATTTTTCACTATTCAATATATTTTTCATTCGATTCACCGGAACATAAAGCAAGAAAAAAAATAACGTAAAGTAGCAGTAAAAGAACAAGAAAAAAGTAATAAACAAAAATTTTTTTTTGAAAAATTCTTAACTTTTTTACTTTTATACCTTTTTGGTTGATTTTCAATTTTTTGTTTTTTCATTTCTTTGCGGTGGTATACGCGTTTTGTGTGCCAAAGAAATTAATCGCGATTTTTAAACGGCTTTTAAACGGTGATTTTCCAATTTTTTTTATTATTTAAAATAATTATAGCTGTGTATTTTATGATTTACATTTATGCATATATAAATATAAGTGTATTCACATACAAACATGTATACTCTTACACATCATATTTTGTACATTATTAATGCTGTTTTGTTTTTTATTTCTACTTAATAATTAATTTTTATTGATTATTTTGATTATATTACAAGAGTGTAAATAATTGTTCATAAATGAGAAAAAAAAGGTGTTAAAAATTGAAAGAAAAAAAAATTAATAAAGGGAAAATTTTATGATTTTTTTTTTTATTGACGAGTAATTAAAAAATAATAAGAAAGGAAAATAAGAAAAATAAGATTTTTTTTTTTTCAAGAATTAATTAAATAATCTGTGTGATCTTCTTTTATTGAATTTTAAGTGAATTTTTAGAAAAATTTTAGAATATTTGGAAATTCTAGAATTTTAGAATTATAAACTCTGTGATCTTTAAATTAAATGCAGCAATCAAATCAATTTAGATTAATTTTTGTTTTATTTACCTACTCTCAACTTGCATCTCATTGTTTTAAGTTACTATAAGCGAGAAAAAATATAAAATTTTATTTCTCGTTTTCTCGAAATTTTGAAATTTGTTATTTTCATCAGCTAGAATTGATCTATTTCTCTATGAAATCGAAATTTCATATTGTGATTATTTTAAAATTTCTTAAACAAATTTGTCATTTCTCGAAAAAATTTGTCATTTCACAAACTCTTCATTAAGAAACTGCTAAAAAATTTTTACGTTCATTTTATTCAATTTTTAATTTAAATTCTTATTTTATTATTTAATATTTTTTTTAATATTTCCAATAAAATTTTTGATTTTATCTCAAGAGCAAATAAAAATTGTTTGAAATCGAATGAACGGAAATTTTCTATCATATATTTTCCATTACATTATTTAACAGCTTCATTATTTTCTATATATACTTAATTTATCGATTAAACATTACCGATCAGGCACAAAATTTAAATTATAAAATAAAAAATTACACAAGATCTTCAAATTGTAATAAAATTACGATTATTAGTGTTTAAAATACTATCAATTTGTTAATTAATAATTAACTATTAATAAATTTTAAAATTTCACAATAATTATTGTAGAATTATAATTGATTCCTAAAACTATAATAAATGAACAAAAGTAATTCAAATTAAAAAAAATTGCATATAGTAAGGCGTGAGTATTTCAAAAAGGACAATAAATCAAGAAATTAATATTAATATTTTAATAATAATTTATTTTTGGCAACTAGGAATTAATTAAATATTGTTTGAATATAAAAGGAAAACTTATATTAATTAAGGATTAGTTTAAGAAAATATATAAGTATATAATAAAAATTTAAGCGAAATTCAACATGTTTATTTCCACTCATTAAATAAATATTTAAAATCACATATAAAATTTTAAATAAGATTTTTTTTGTAAACTTAAAAAATTTTTAAAAGCGTACAAGTTAAAAATATAATTTAAATTATTACAAATAATTCTGAAGGTCACAGAGTTTATTTATATGAAATAATATAATTAATTTAATTATAATTGAAAAAAAAATTAATTAAGTGAATTTCAGTAAATGAAAAGAAAAACAATATTCAATAAGAATTTTTTGCTTGAACAATCAAAAGAATAAAATTAAAAAAGGAGTCTTTTTAACTGGTAAGTCCCCTTTTTAATTAAATTTTAATTTATTAATTAATTTATTAATTTTATAAATTAATATTCTATATATATATACATTTAATACGTATATTTTAAATATTACTAAAAGTTATTATTTTTGTCATTGCATCTAAATATAATCTAGGTAAATTGCGAAATAATCATAAAAATTGCTACAATAATTAAATAAAAATTTTAATAAATTTTAAAATTATCATTGACCATTTTATTTCCAACAAAATAGCCAGATAAGCAACACACATAGTGACTATTTTAAATAAATTATAATAAAATTTGCATATATTAAGGGGCAAAATATTAAAATTTAATAAGAATAAATCAGAAATTTAAATCTTAAACATGGAATTTTCATTCTTTTCCGTTTACAGGAAAAAATTTGGAAATAAAGTAATAGATTAAATTGGGTTATTTGGTTGACCTATTTACAAAATATTTAATTTTAATAGCTAAAGCTAAAAAGTTGTTAACTATTTCCAATTTTTTAAAATCATAATTCGAATTTTTTCTCCTTTTATTTTCCTATTTTGAAATTATTACTTATAAGAGTAATTTCCAGAAAATTATCAAAACTAAATCAACTCTATAAATAAGATCAAATTTAATGCTAATTAAGGCTAAATATTATTTTCAAATTTTTTTAAAAAAATTATCACTTAAAACAAAATACAAATTTTTTAGATTTTTTTTTTTTTTTTTACTTTTTTATCACAGTTTAATCAGATCGTGCCCGTAGAAAATGCGGTCACCTTATTATTACATTTTTTTTTTTCTTTTCTTACTTTTCATATGCACATTGCCAGCATAACTTACTATTTTGTACATTATATATACATAACCTACACATATATACATAATTGATGATATATAGAAGACAAGAATAGAAAAGTTACATAGTTTTTTTTTTCTTCTTCTTCACTTTAAATATTTTAACTATTTCTGCATTAATATTTTATGTTAAGCAACTAAAATATGCTCTACTATTATAAAACATAAATATTAGCATGCATATAATAAAATAAAAAAAAAAAATTGTATTTACAATATTTAGAGCACAATATAAATAATAATAGCAGTTATTTTCATGGACACAAATAGAACAAATAACAAATAAAAATTTAATAGATATAGTCAACTACAGTTAGTGATCTGCATTTTAATTTTGTAAATATATTTTAAATTGAGTAATGCTTGTTAATTATTTTATACCAACAGAGTTATTTTTATTATTTTAAAATTTCTTAAATGATTGGTAATACCTTTATCATTTATAATTTATATGAATTTAATATTGTTATATTTAAAATGAATTAATTTATGGTTACTATTTAATGTGTGTAATTTCTTCTTTAGTTTCATATTTTTCGAACTTCAATTAAAATATTTGAGCAACAATATTTTGTTGGTATTTATCTTAATGAAAACTATTGTGCATTTACCGTTATTCCATTTATTATGTAATCCGTTATTTTTATATAATTCTGTTACATATATGCATTTTGGAAGACGTCCTATACCACTTCGCAACTCTAGTTATAATCGCATATCTCATTTATATATGACGTTCACAAAAAATAATCTTAATTAATTTGATATCCTAAAATTTCGAGAAATTTTGAAAATTTTCCTTTTATTTGTAAGTGAACGTAAAACTTAGTTGATTTTGATTCACCATGGGCATTTTATTAAACCACAATAATATTTTCTTATAACAAATATGACAACACTTAATAATTTGTTCAACAATATGCCTAACCCTTTAGAAAGGTGACCATTTTGCGTCCTATACAAATGTTCTTCCACTTCAAAAATTTTATTATCAATTGTTGCAACAGTAATAAATATAGTGAGCATAAATTTTAAAACTCAAAGCAAATTTCTCAAAAATTCTACTGTATACAATATTTACGTCAAACTCTCCTTGCATTTCTAATATTCGAATATCTTTTATTTGTTTCAGTCAATTCGAAATGTAAGCAAGTTAAAAATTTTTAAAATTTCAAAAATAACTATCTAATAGGTATTTTTAAATTTAAATGACAAAATAAGAAATTTTTTTAATTTCTAATTCCGGAAACATAACAAACATACATAATTAAATATACGTTTACAAAACGTTAACCAGAATACACAAATCGTTAAGGAAAATCACAGATATACTTTTAAATTACC